ACGCCCTTGGTACGAGTATATGAGAATTCTGAAGAATGATTAGTATTATCACCCTGGCTCATTCAATTGTCAACAGAGATCAATGAAGCATTACCATAGAGTTGAAATTTACATTCTGTGATGGCATGGAAGAATTAGCTCCATAAAATGGAAAGAATGATAAAATACTCTCTTGTCTTAAAACTTTTGCACAGTACTGTATATTAGCTTGACCTCGTATCTGTTCCTTGGAGTAGGGTAACCCCACGTAAAGGGCTCTCTCTTTTTTTAATAAATTTATTTTTAATAACCAGTGATATATGTAATTTAAGGAGTGTGGGATAATCCACTAAACTTTGTCATACTTTAACTTTTGATATTTCGTGATCTTTGCTTCCATCTTTATCCTATGTGGACGTGCATCATTCTTGCTTTGGTCCTTGTCCTATGGATATGTTTTGGAAGCCTTTTCTACCACTACAGCAGCAGTCATGTTTAAATACCAAAGTCAGCCAGTTCAATAGCGAGCTGTTGGTTGATCAGCTTGGCAGTTCTTGTATTAAGAGGTATTAAGGAATAGAACATTCCACTTTTTATGTGATACAGTATCTTCATAAACCTAAATTTCAAGTAGGGTTAGTTTAGTTGTGCTGAGTGTAATGAGATGCTTCATGAAAACAAGTTACAGAAACAATTACTTTGACTAACCAGTTTTGAAACACATATATTATTGTCATTCCCATCTCTAGTGTAGATATAATAATAATATCAGTCTTTCTTTTTCACTTGCTAAAATGGTTCAGCAAACAATAACATCTATCAGACAGATTCACTCTCTTGGATCTGTACATTTTTTATTCAAATGTCTATCAAGAAAACAACATACTGTAATATTCAAGAATTATACATCCCTAATATCTGTGAAAACATTCCTTTTCTCAAATAGCAAAATGCACAAGTATAAAAGAAAAATATCAAAAATATTCTAGTAATTTCAGTTAAACCCACTCTGCTTATTAAACTTCATGATTAATAATAATAATGACAAACAGACCAGATTCAATCATATTACAGTAGATATTGGTAGCCAGAGTAAGCATGGACAGCAAAAGTTAAAATTATTTAATAGAACATGTAGAAAAACACCCACTTTTATACTGAGACTTAAGGAAGGAGGACGATTGAAAAAATATATAAACTCCTAAAGAAATTATTAATTAAAATTATTAATATATTTTTGAGCTACTTTATTTTGTGAGAAACAAATATATATAATTATCAACCACTTACAAAATAGATATTGCATCTGCAAAACACCATACAATATGTTTACATTTTGATTTAAAGATAATTGAAAAATCTATTATAAGGATTAAAAAGAATTTTTAAGTTTGTTCTGGATGGTTTAGAACTTTGCTAAACATAAAGAGTGTGAACAATCTTTTTGTGAGTTTTGTAATTTTTTGTAGACTTATAAAAGAATATTTTCCCTCATATTTGTTGAAACTTTACACTATGCAAACAAATTATATTATTTTACAATGGTATTATGGTAAAAAAGCAAAGAGCTAATTAAATTCTTTGTAAGTCAAGGAAACAAACTTTCATAAACAGAACTACAATGCTACAGAATGTCTATTATATTGTGGAATGTTACAAATCCTAATTAACATTATCATACAAAATACTAAGAATTAAATCAACAATGTTATTAATAACAGTTTGAGGTCCATTGATTGTCAATACATATTAATATATACAGTATAACAAATAAAATAAAATCTTTACATATGTATCCTTAAATTTTGTACTTTCAAAATCTGATGACTATAATTTGATAGTAATTGATTTACCCATTGGGAATTTAATGTAAAAAAAAGAAGTCATTATTATACATTAAACTAACTGGTTTTAATTTTCCTTTATTCACCATACTATACCAAACCATTTTAAACAAACTTATAATAGTTTACAACTATAACTTATTAGACTTCATTAAGACTACACAGAATACCTGTCTGAATTAAATATTATTATCCAAGTTACCACTATTAAATCATAACTTAGTAGAAAGAAAGTTATCACACAACCTTTTTTGAATAGATGCTACAAAATGTATAAATTATTTTGCACACTTTCTGAAAATAAACACTAATGTCTCAAAGTTAGAGTTTTTTCAAAGATTTTCAAATTGATACTACTCCATAACTGAAAAAGCTGTAGATGGCAACAGCAACAGACCATATCACTGGATGGTTAGTGATCAAAACTTTGCTAAACATAAAAAGTGTGAACAAACTCTTTATGACTTTGTACTTTTCTACATACTTATAAAAGAACATTCCTCCTTATGTTTGCTGAAACTTTACACAGTGCAAACAAATGGTATTATTTTATAATACCTTGAGATGTTATAAAAACTTTAGAAATCAGAATAAGCAAAACATTAAGATTAGTTTAACTTTGAATTGATATTAAGAGAAAATGAAAAAACAACAACTCCCAAGTTACATTTTTGTTACTTTTGGTCTTTGCTTCATACATTAAATTTGATTAATGAGTATCATGTTTGCACTAATAGGAACTTTTATAAGTTAAAAATTTCAATATTTCAAGGAATATATATATTTCTCGCATATATAAAACAGTTTCACAGAGCATTTCATATATATTCGATTACAATTACTTAACTGTTTATTTTCAACTCTGGAAACATATATATGTTATGAAGTAACAATCCATTCATATTCTAGCATTTTCTGCAGCTTTCTGATGTAGACTTACTACATATTCAAGCCTAATGTGTGTCAGCTTCCACTGTAAAACTTCATCACAATTCACAATCAAGATGTAATGCAACTGAAGATGCTTTCAATCCTGTGTTCACTGTTAAAATTAGCAGTTTACTGTTATGCAACTGGGTGGCCACAAATGTTCAAAGTTGATTAGTGATAGGCAGAAAAGAAAATTATTTTCTGCATCCCGGCTTTTTTTTACCATTTGATTAAACTTGTTCAAATGATAGTGTGGAACATCATCGTTGTTTTCTTTGGGTACTGATTATGCCTATATCACATGTAAAAATCCCCAATCATCAGGTCTAAGCATAACACTATACATTATAAATCTAGTATTCATCCATGTTGTCATATATCTGGTTGCACTTTATGACTTTTCAAAAGCAATTAATTAAGGCATTGCGTACTTGTAAGAATAAAACAAAACATAATCAACTAATCATTTATTAGCAAGAAAATGATCAGTAAGCAGCTGATTTTCTTATCCCTATTCTGAATAGATAATAGCTCAAATCTCCACAAAGAACATAGAGATTTCCATAAGTGAGCATCTCATACAACACAGAAATTCAAGACCTTGCACATGTATGAACTACAAAACTTTATAGACATCTGCATATGGAGATGATCAATGCAAGGAATATACAATGGGAGCTTAAAACCTTCAAAACTGCTACATTCTCTAGTTGAGGACCTGTATATTTAAAATAGCCTGACATGTCTTGTATAAGTCCTACACATATGTACAAACAAACAATCTAAGATAATATATATATATATATTAGATGGCTTAATAACCTGAAAGCAATATATATACAACACTTTCTAAAGTCATCAAAAAGAATAGAGGAAATTACTCACATTTAAATTCATACCAAATAATCAGCTGATTTTCTTACCCTACACTGAATGGAAAATACTCAAATCTCCAGAAACTGAGATCAGAGAATTCTCTCACTTTCTGATGGTATAGTTACCCAATTACACAAACAGATAACAGAGATTATTTACCTTTCAAATAAGTATAACACATCTGGTATATAATCCTGGAATAAATTATATTGAATGGATGAATGAATAAAGCAGAGTAAATTTATATGAAACTTGAATTGTATTGATTGGCAATACACAGTGCAGTAATTGTTAAACTTTAAATTATCAGTACTTTTAAAGCATAACTCATTCTGCTATGATAAACCAATTTCATGATTATTTAATTGTTAAAATTTAAACTATTAGTACTTTTAAACCATAACCCAGATTACTATGATACACCAATTCTGTAATTACTTACTTGTTAAACTTTAAATTATCAGTATTTTTAAACCAAAGTTGCTATGATAAACCAATTTTATAATTATTTCAAATAGTCTATGGTTTATTATAAGTTAAGTTATGTGTCAAATGTATTCTGCCATTTACATAAATATTAAACTTTAAAGTATAAATGCAAAAAAATGTTCAATAAGAAACCTAGTAACAAACCATGATAAATGCACATGAAATATATCTCCTAAAACACACATGTATAATCTTATTAACCAAAATGTTATTAAGTAAACTAACAAGAAAAATATATATTAAAAATATCACATTTACATAATTAATTACTAATCACAACCACTTACCAAGTTACATAATCCATTATCTTATAGCAAGACAAGTCCTAAAAAGTCAGGATTAGACACATGACAAAAAGTTATATGACCCATCACCTTAGAAAACAAAAAAGTATGTAACTTATGTCAATCACAGTCACATAAAAATTACTTGAGTTCACAAGACAAATAAATGTGGCTAATATCAATGTAAAGTTTTATAATTAAAATAAAAGCAATAATTTCACATATAGATCATTTACAAAAACATGACAAAATCATTTCTTTGAATCAGTCACCTACAATTTTTTTTAATATCAAATAGATTTAAGTATTGTGAATTATATATATAACCTGGAAACATTACTGTAAAGCCACATCTCTTCTATAAGTCTTATGAATATCAATTAAATATAGAAAATATGATGCCTCTAAACACAATATAACTACAAAAATAGTGATTGTACAAATAACTATTTTTATATCACATTTCTTCACTGATGATTTAAAGTTGAGTTTTAAACTTATGCTTTATTTATTTATTTCTGGAATGTTTTTGAAATATATTTAGAAATAAATATTTAAAAACTCCTCCTCTAAGAGAACAGTTTAGACAATTACAAAATCAATTATTTTTCATAATTAAGTTATGTAAAATACAGCAAGTTATTCTGTGCTTTTATTTCTCTCACCTTTAAACTTCAACCAGTGAAACAATTTAAATAGTATGACCATGTCACCAAAAAATCTATAAATGCAACACACTTAACAGTGATATCTGACATGTGTTTGTTACAGGCAATCAAATGCTGCAGTGTCACTGTAACATCACATTAAACAAAAATGTGATATCAAATCTCATAAATAAAATTCTCAAGTAATTTGTAAGCAGAAGTAAAGTGTATTATACATGGTTAATTTCTGCATTAAAGTAGAAACAGACTTTCCTAAAACAAACTATGCTAGTACAAACAGTTTGCTAAATTATACAAAGGGGTTGTCTATATCATACTTTTAGTAAAATGTACACACATTCATTCAACATTTTATCTTCATAGTTATCCTAAAGCTACTTCTCATTCACATAATGTTTTTTTAAATGAATAGAATTGTTTATATTGTGGTTATTTTAACAAATATACCCAGCCTAATTTTGGTACAGTACACAAAATTAAATATTTAAAAGAAATCAGTGGTAAATAAATGAAGACCAAGTTTGACTATAAAACACAAACCACATTACACATTTTAAGAGCAAAATAAACAGTACAGCCTATTCTATCTTTGACAGGTGTTGCAATAAAACTTTTTAGAAACAGTTATTTCTTAAACAACTATATGTCTTAACATGTTTGAAATCCATAGCACACTGTACCATGAGATATCAGAAAAAAGTTATAAACAAAAATTTCAAAACTTCATTAACCATATGAAAGATAAATGGATTCTGTCATGAATTCTAATGGTTACAAAAAAATCCATAATACTTATTTGTTTTGTACAATAGATCTTGAAAGTGTTAAAGAGAAAGAATCAATTCACTCTTAAATTAATTTAGAAACAGTGGCTGTTTGTTTCAATTAACACTGAAATTCAGTTATTCATTATTGCCTTTTTCTAATAACTATTTCCACTAATACAACATTACACAAAATTCAGCAACTACATATCCAAATTAAAGCCTACACTACAACAAAAATAATTATTAGCATTTATGCTGCAAGTATTTGTTAAATCAACAATTCAACTCCCAAACTATGACATTTGCTACAACAGAAGTAATGATGTTAATTCTCAGTAACAATTACTATATTCAAAAACAGTAATGGCAAATCTACCATGATAGCAGTATTAATGACATTACCATAGTAATGTTAACAATGACACTAGTGCCACAAGTACTCAAGTCCATCATCAAGAAAACACTTTAGTCCTACTAAAAGTCACAAGCTTCTAACATTGGAAACAGATAAGGCTTTAGACAAACATAAAATCATCCTAGTAGCTCAGTAAATGATTACTGTTATGGATAGGATATGTCAAAATTAGTTAGTAGAAATACATTTTGTATCAAATGAGATACACTGACTTGCATGTTTTTTTACCTCTAAAAAATATGTCAAATATATTTTCTTTTATGTAGTTCAAAAAGATAATAGTACTGCAGATGGATGACGGAACTATCCAATTAGTAACATGTAGTATGGATTTTGCAAAATTTCTCTAAATTTTATCAAAAAACACCAGAGAGAAATTCAAAAACACAGCATGTGATTTGCATCAATTTTAAATCCTTTCCATAAAAACTCTTGACTGAGTTTGCCATCATTTAAACAACAATGGCTCAGTAATAATGTTGGTTTACAACTTAATTATAATTTTTAGTTGAGAAACTCTAAGTTACAAATGAACTGAAACATGACTTCATTAAATCTTAACACCACTAGTAGTGGCATCAGCACTGAAACAAGTTTCTGTACTTTACACACCCTCCCCAATCAGTTTGGAACCATTGATGCCTCTTACTGTAACCCGATTAGGGCGTACAATAAGACCATAGTTGCTCTTGCAGGTGAAATAGCGGTAGCCCTGCACAGAACCGTCATTCTTTCCCCGTGGTGTCCGAAGCTCTACACCCAGCCAAATTCCATCTGTAAACTTCACAGGTCCAATATAACGAACAATTCCTATCATACAGATAGAAGTTAATTTTTCTAAACTCTTAATAGTAATTAAGTACTTCCTAACTTAAAAAGCTTTTTTTATGTACACTACCTATGGAGAGAGAAAACTGAGATAAAAAGATTTAGAATGTCTTTTCCTTGTTTTTGACATAATATTTATAATTGAAAACCTCTTCTATGTGTTATACATGCTTGTAGATTTAAACACTTGTAACACATGGTAAATTGTTGAATCTGGATAGACATTTTTAAACAACATAAAAAAAAACAGTCATACAGTCAATTTTCAAAATTAAATGAAAAAATATGATAGTTTGCTAATAATTAACCATTATAACAAAGACAATACATAATACACTACCAAGTTATTATAATCAAAACAATACACACATACTGTTTAAAAGTTTGATAACACTAAATAGTAAGATAAAGGAAAGTTAGATAGCAGCCACACAAATTTACATAAAAATTAATGAATAATTACTTGCTATATGCAAAGAAGCATTCATGGTAATGATACATGAATGAGTACAAGAGGAATTCGTAGTAATGATACATGAATGAGAGCAAGAAGCACTCGTGGTAATGATACATGAACGAGAGCAAGAAGCACTCGTGGTAATGATACATGAACGAGAGCAAGAAGCACTCGTGGTAATGATACATGAACGAGAGCAAGAAGCACTCGTGGTAATGATACATGAACGAGAGCAAGAAGCACTCGTGGTAATGATACATGAACGAGAGCAAGAAGCACTTATGGTAATGATACATGAATGAGAGCAAGAAGCACCCGTGGTAATGATGCATGAATGAGAGCAAGAAGCACCCGTGGTAATGATGCATGAATGAGAGCAAGAAGTATTCATGGTAATGATACATGAATGGGTACATAGATTTTACAGACACATAGATAGATTTTACAAATTGTTACCACGAACAACAGCAATGTTAATTGTTACCACCCTCTAACTCTGATAACTTAGATATTAAAATAAATTACATCAGTTGTCACAACTACAGCATTACTACATTGTAACCTTAAGTAATAACACTATGTGAAAGATATTCAACATGGTTTTATGCTTATTACTATAACCTAGACAGTTTAACATATATAAAATCTAGGATAAATTTTACTTGATTTACCCATTGAATGATAAACATTAATCCTGGGATAATTGTTACTCACCCAGCTCATTATGTACAAATACATGCATTCCAATAGTAAGCCAGCAGCCTTTTTGTGAACTAAAAGAAGAGGATTCCAGGGATCTAGTTTTGTTAGTCCTATGTGTAGAAAAGAAAAAAAAATCATAATTCATTAATAGAACCTTTTAACTGTGTATGAATATGATGGTGGAGTTAATCTTACAGTGCAGACATTACAACTTACTACAATTTTGTACTCACAAAAATAAATTTTTTACAGCCTTTTGAACTCTGTATGTATATGTAACATGTATTATAAATTTATTTGTCATGAGACAATAATATTAGACCTATTACATTTACAAACAGTGTATTCTTAATCTAGTCCCTTTGGGATTTTCAAGGATCAGAAGAGTGTATATAACAAATAACAAAGATATAACAAATATAGTGTGATTGGAAAATAAACATGTTTGTTGCACATGGGAATCTACATGTAGGTACATGATCTATTAATATTCTGGATTATAAACATTCAGGAACATGATCTTTTAATATTCTGGATTATAAATATATTATTTGTTACAGCTGTAAATCCAAGTGTACGAACATTATCTATTAACATTCTGGAGTTGATTTTCTTACAATGAAAATAGATTTCCAATTGATACCTGCCCTCTAACATATTGAAAAGAAATTCTTGCTTAACATACTAGACTTTATACCCCCAAGTTCAACCTGCGCATTTAGCATGTATAGAGTATGTGATGACCCCCAACCAATAGGAGCATGACACACCCTCTAGGAGAAGCTGGCACCTTTGTACTACTTTTAAGTGAACCTCACTTTCGAGATTAGGCCCACAAGATCAAATGAAGACCAGAAGTGGGGAGGAAGGATGAAAATGTGTGAGAGGTGATACGTATCTATCAGAAATCTATTTTCATCGTAAGAAAATGATAACTTCCAATATGATACATACCTCTTCTCAAACAACAGCTAGAATACCACACTGAGCCAGCAGAGGGACCAATGTAACATAAAACAAGAGACACCCTACAGAAAGCATCCATAGAGAATCGAACAGGTGTGCTCAAGTAAGTGAATGTAAGTATAGGTATGGAATAGGTATGATCTTTGCCCTAGAAGAATTGGAATGTCATGAAATGGGCAGCATTGAGGCCTGGATAAATAAAAAAAAAGGCCTCAGAAAACAATCTACCCAACCCCAATCATACAGGCAACATTCCACGTCCTGTCCTCAGTATTACGAGGTGGGGGACTGCACATAATATCAAAACCAGTAGATACATCGACCACAACCATAAGTAAACAGAGTGCTATACTGCAAACATCTGGAATTATGATGAGGAAGTAAGCAAACAGCAACCTCTGGAAAAACTTCATAATCAACCATAGAAGACAGGAGTACAACAAACCAAACCTGAAATTACAGGGCACTGTCTAAGCCTCAACTCAACCATAAGAGCAGGAAGTCATCCTGTACAGGAAAAGAACAAGTCCAACTCAACCATAAGAGCAGGGAAGGAACCACGTTCATCTGGCATTACAAGTAGGATGAGGAATGCCTGCTCAACTGTAGGAACAGGGCATATGATGTCTTGCAACCAGTGTTACGAGGAAAACAAAGTCCCCCAAGCTCAACTATAGGAGCAGAGAAATGAAACATGCTGCAACCAGAATTACCAAGAAGGGGGGGCTTCTACCAGACTCAATCATAGGAACAGGACATTATCTACCTGAACCCAGTATTATTAGGAGGGTCCAGCTCCCACTTACAATAGCACCTCTGAGAATAAACCTCCAGAAAGTACAATGAAGGAGAGTTCCAAGCATTACCCTATTCTCAATTGAGTGTACTAATATGTAATATTACGACTTGAGGTCAAAAGTCATGAAGAAGCCTCCAAAGTCCACAACCCTAGCAGCTAGGAACTAGTAAGTGGCAATGATAAAAACTTCCTAACTCCAGTTCAGCAAAGGAGGAGTAAAGGGCGGTGGGGAGTCTGGAGGAGCATCATACTGGAGAAAGTGCCAATCCTTTGACTAAATAAATCAGGAGCAGTCTGCTTTTTAAAATAAGGTTTGTTACAAATGAGAAACTACATACAGAAATATGATTTATTAACATTTTGGATGTTTAAACAATGTTACAGACATGAATTTAGTAACAACTTTACTTTCAGATGTATATATAAATTATTTGCTGCCAATGGCAAAATTTGATCTATTATCTTTGTGATTGTATAAACATGCTTTGTTATAGACAAAAGTATATTACTGTAGCAGGTGCTAATAAGGCACTTTTTAACAACTCAAGATACCACAAAAACTAAATCCTTGACCATAATCAGTTAGAGTTCAAGGTAATTAAAGCTTTTCATATGCTACCTTATGTAGGTCAGCTATTTCAATCTCCTATACTTCCAAATTTTGTCTTCACAAGTAGGAACATGCTATAGCTGTAAATGAATGACTATTTTCTCACTCTTTCAATTCTGGGTGTTGATGAGAAATTTGTTAAATTGTGTGCAACTGAAAGATTATCAAGAATGCATTATAACTATAAATATAACAATGACAGTTAGAAATAAAATTAATGTTCACCAGAAAAAAAAAAAAGAACCTTTACTAAAACACACATACACAAAAGAAGCAGAGGGCACTACAGAACAGAGTTGGAAAATAAGCTGTCATTGTTAAATTTTTGAATATTATCATTTGTAGTACCTTTATGTTAAGTAACAAAAGAATAACTAGATTTAGTAAGATTGGTAAGTGAAAAGACTAGGGTTAATGTTTCACATTAGAACTTAGTGGTGTAACCTGTACTACAATGTTACATTAATAATGGTTGGAGATGGCTTGAATGGGTAATGAAGAAAAACTCTAATACAAGTTTAACATAACAGCAAATGTACAACTTTTCGACAAGGTTTTGTCACCATCAGGTACAAGTAATTTACACTGACACTGATATATATATATATATATATATACAGTATTGAACAAAGAGGTCAAAAGTCCGGATGCTGTTGCAAAACTTGGAAGAGGTATCTTGGCACCCCAGGGTGTTGGTTTAGAGTAAGGTTGTTTTGTTCAATTAAGATGGATTCCTTGATTTTTCATTTGTTTATGTTGGATTCTTTGTTTAAAATGATTGTGTTTTTAATAGATATACCATGATTTTTTTGAGTTGCAATGGTGAAAAACATGGGACGTTTTTTTATTGTGTTCTGTCAATCTGGTTTCTAATTTTCTTCCTGTTTCTTTGATGTAGAATTCTGGGCAGTTAGATTAGGCTTAGGATGTGTAATGATACTTTAGGCTTAGCTATAATTCAACTTACTGGAAAATTGTAAAACAAGTTAAATACATTGTTTTATTAAACAAATACAATCTAAAGACTAGTTAATTTTCTATATGTTTTAAGGATTATCTTATTTACATGACTTTAGTCTAGATCCATTAGTATTATATAAACATCAAATAAAGTAAAGAACAGTTATTTATCACTTTATAAAATTAAAGATAAACTTAATTACTTTAGTGTGGACACAAAGTAGTGATAAAATACTGTAATATATTTGATTCTAAAATGGCAGGCTTTACAGTGTTGGCAATACTACTGGTATTTAGTAATAGTATTGAACATTTATTTCCAAGCTACAAATACAATGGTTAAGACTAGTGACAGTTTGTTAGGTGTGATGGGTGCAATGAATGGGTATTATTTTGGAACTCCGAACTGGTATGTACTTTTAAGGAAGCTAGTAATGAAAATGTGCAATTTGTTTGTAGAGCTTATAGGTTGGAGGCTATCCTAATTAAAGCAGAGGCAATAGATAAAAATAGGGTATATTGTAGGAATACATCAGGTAGTTAGAAAGAGTACAGTTAGGGTTAAAACTACAAGTAGTGGATTTAATTGTAATGAGCCTATTTTATTGAGAAATAGATTCCAGCTCTTGGCTTATGAAGATGAGGAACTATTGGAGGGAAAGAAAATAAAATGAAGGATGTGGATGATAAACTACAGGAAGTTACCGTTATGGGTGATTCCTTAACAAGGATAAGATAATCTGAAGGGTAAATAGGGAGAAAAGAATTAGATTATGCTACCCAGGGGCACAAGTGGAGGATATAACTGACAGAGCAAAAAATATAATAACTGGGGCTAGTAATGATGCAGTTTTTATTGTGCATGTAGGGGCTAATGATGTAGGGAAAGTAGGTTAGAGGAGCTAATTAATAAGTACGAGGGGTTGATAAAGGCATTTAATTAAAGAAAAAGGCCATAACTTAACTATGTCAGGGATACTGTCAAGAATTAGTTGTGGAGGTGAAATTATGAGTAGGTCACTATGGGTAAATTCTAGGCTTAGGTTAACATGTAAGGATGAGCAGATAAGCTGGCTGGACTTGTGTGATCAGTTCAGTGGGAAAAGGGAGCTTTTTGGAATGGATAAGTTACATGGCTTGTTTGCAAGGGCTATTAACTCTGTTGTAAGGGAAGTTTTAAACTAAGACCAGACAGTGCTGAGGGCCAGGATAAACTACAAGCAAAAATAATTAAATGTTGAGAAAAGTTTAGCATAGGAAACGAGCATAGAAGTAGTTCTAAGGATAGGCATAATTGTTACTATTGTAATGCTAGAAGTATAAGAAATAAAATAGATAACTTTAAGTCACTGGTAGGAATGGAGGATTTTGATAAACGGAATAACTGAAACATGATCGTGAATAAAGGATGTATCTGCAAAACATACAATTGTCTTCCGAAACATGGTTAAATGTTGATGATGTTGATGACAGAAATTCCTTTGAAATACAGGGTTATAGGATATTTAATGAGGATAGATTACTAAGGAGAGGGGAGGAGTAGTTATATATGTAAAATGGGAGTTACATCCTGTTGAAAATTGAGGATATCAAAGATAACAGCAAGGAGATTGAATTCATTTGGGTTTTTATTAGAAGACATAAAGAGAAAAGGCTTTTAGTGGGAATTTTTTACAGACCACCAGTTAATACTGATGAAATTAATGAGAAACGTTACAGTCTGATTAAGATTCAAGCTGTTAATAATTATGGGTGATTTTAATTCCAGGCATATA